GACTACGGCACCGGTATGTCATCGCACACCTCACAGAATGTACTGTTTATTAACAGACTTATGCCTTAATTAGCGAATAATAATCACAAAAACAAAATCAAAAAGTCTGGACTCATAAAGACGTTGGACTCGAAGACCGGGGTTTACACCAAATACAAGCCATTCCTCCAGAAAGACCGCGAAATACTCAAGAAATTAGTGAAAGGAGTGGACAGTAAGCGTCCCTCAGAGGTACAGTCGGCGCTCTTACGGCGCTTTTTCACGGAACTGACGCAGAGTTTTCTGATACCATTGGAGCGGTATTTCGCGTCACTGATGCCGCTCCAGAAGAATGTCTCGCCATTCAAGAGGACACCGATTCTGCAGCACTTCCGACCGGACGAGTTCCTCAAGTCGTTGGAGACGTCGGGCCCTCAGCTCACCTCTGGGGTCAAAGGGGACTGGCAGGGCCTGTACGCCCGGTTCCTCAGGTGTCCCAACTTTGTCTGCTGGTACGACTCGCGGCTCCGGGAGGCCAACCAGAAGCTACGGGTGCTTCACATGGAGGCCATCAGTGGCGCTAATCTCGTCGATTGGATTCGCGATAAGGCGGAGGTCGAGGTCGTGGACCTGATTCTCAGGATTAAGGATAAGCTGTCGGCCGTCGAGTCCGATGGCCTCCCATTGGACGGACAGACTGTGGAGAAGTTGAGGTCCAATTTGGTGGCGATTATCGATACACTGCCCGAAGACCTCAAAGAGATTCTTAAGAAAACATAATATTTATTGATATTATCATTGATTCGCGTATTTTTGTGTCCATTATATCATTGAATCGTTTTTTCATTTTTTATTGCTGTATATAAAAGACAATTATGTTATCATTGATTAAAAACTGAGATTAATATCGTGTTTGCGATTAATTGACTCAAATGTATGTCAACTAATTGGTGGATGTCTTGTATTTATTGAACATTCGCCCAAACGATCAAATAATGTGTCAAATATATTACGGATTCAATTGATATTTACTTTAAACGGTATTTAACTATAAAAATAGAGATCACTGTCTTAGACATCATTGTCGAGGATTAATGGTTTGATGGGATCGATGGCCAGCGATGACAACGAATGAGAGATCTATTGAAGACAAGTGTCACATAAGAGATAATTAGGTGTGAATTGTGTGCAAACCTTATGTATACGGAAGCGGCAAACCCTGTGCTCCCAATCCAATGGCATTATTAACGCATTTCTTATGCGAACTAAATCTCTGTGTGTTTTCAAAGACAATTCATTTACCATTAGTTCAATCATTTCAACCAAATGTGTGGACACTATTGAGACGACAAATATGAGCGCATTTTCATAGCCCCGGGGTCTCAATAGTGAACACATAATCACGTGTATTACTTGGCGTTACTCCTAATGATAGCCCGAAAGTCTCGGTCTCTGTATTGGATCAAATCGACCAGAAGTTTGGCCCCGAAGTCACCAAACAGTGACCTAATGGACGACATTATCATCAGTTTGTACTGTCGGACACCAATTGGTGGCACCGTTTTGTCTCCGCTCTCGAAGTCTCTGTCGACAATCAAAGCACTCAATTATCACCCAAACTGATCCGCTGATCACAGAAATCTACTCACAATTCAATGTCTAAATAGATGTAATGGCTGTCATCGCGTATGCGCCTAAACCTCACCACCGATGACATCTTGGGATCAATTGGCGATTAGATATCAATGAAATACACGTTTAATGATATGTATAAAATAAATTGAGCACAAAATAGTCAAACAAATGGTGTCTTCAGTGTCTTCAGTGACCACAACAATGGACACAAACGAGTGGTGACTGTGTTATGAGAGCACAGATCACGTGAACCACGTGTTAATCACGTGACACAACACTTGT